AGTAAAGCTTCTCATGTGTCTTCGGAGTATGAAGTAATGGTGGGCTCGATAGGTACCGCTTCAGTTGTTCTAGTGCCTGTTGGCATTCTGGGGTCCAGGTGAAATCGCTCTTCCTTTTGAGTAGAGAGAAGAATTTGTGGCTTCGATCTGACGACCTTGAAATAAATCGGCCTAAAGCAGCTATCTGTCCGGTTAGCCTTTGCACTGCTTTCACACTATCTATGACGGTGATGTCTTCGATGGCTTTGATTTTGTCGGGGTTGATCTCGATCCCCCGATCCGACACCATGAACCCAAGGAACTTGCCCGATCCAACCCCGAAAGCACATTTCTCGGGGTTGAGCTTCATGTTGTATTTCCTTACAATTTTGAACATTTCCTACAAATGAGTCAAATGGTTCTCTGCGCGCAAGGACTTAACTAGCATGTCATCAATGTAAACTTCCATCGATTTACCTATTTGTTCTTCGAACATTTTATTCACTAGGCGTTGGTACGTAGCCCCTGCATTTTTTTAGCCCGAATGTTATTACATTATAGCAATAGGTTTCATACTTAGTGACAAATGAAGTTTTTTCTTGGTGCTTCGGTTTCATGCTAATTTGATTGTACCCGGAATAGGCGTCGAGAAAAGTGAGGATCTCGTGGCCGGCTGTGGCATCGATCAAGCGATCGATGCTAGGCAGTGGAGAAGAATCTTTGGGGCATGCTTTGTTTAGATCTTTATAATCTACACACATTCTAAGTTTGTTCCCTTTTTTGGGGAATACAACCACATTGGCTAACCATTCGGAATATTTTACTTCCCGAATTGACCCTATTTTGAGAAGTTTAGTTGCCTCATCTCTTACAAATGAGTGTTTTACCTCGGATTGAGGTCTTTTTTTTTGCTTCACCGGTTTGAACCTAGGGTCCAAACTCAGCTGGTGCATTGTTATCGATGGTGGGATCCCTGTCATGTCTAAATGGGACCAAGCAAAACAATCTATATTATCAATAAGAAATTGAATAAGTTTTTTCCTGAGTTCAGGGGTCAACCCCGTTCCTAGGTATAACTTTCTCTCGAGCAGACATTCAATTAATATAACCTGCTCCAGTTCTTCGATCGTCGACTTGGTGGCGTCGGAGTCGTCAGGGACGATGAGAGCTCGAGGTGTCGGAAACTCTTCCTTGTCATCTTCTATTTCCTGCTTTACCGATTTGGTCGAGACTGGTTGCTATGATTGCTATTTGGTTTCTCGCCTATCTTTTGTGCTTGACCTTTCTGAGGCCGATAACATTGGTATCGGTGTTATCTCATCAACCGCAAACATTTCCTTCGCATCATGTTGCTCCCAGTATACTATTTTCACGCCGTCCGACGTAGGGAATTTCATCACTTGGTGTAGAGTCGAAGGCACTTCCCTCATATTGTGGATCCATGGTCTTCCGAGTAGGGCATTGTACCTCATATGTCCTTCGATTACGTGGAACTTGGTGTTTTGGATGGTTTCAGCCACATTTACGGGCAGAATAATTTCCCCTTTAGTTGTTTCACTGGCCATATTGAAGTCATTTAAGACCCGAGCTGTGGGCACGACTTGATTCTGTAAACTGAGCTTCTCCACTACCCAAGATCGGATGATATTCGCAGAGCTACCTGGATCCACTAAGACACTCTTAACTTGAACTTTATTTAATAGGATAGAAATTACCAGAGCGTTGTTGTGAGGTTGAGAGATGCCCTCGGCTTCTTCAATTACGAATGATAAAGTGCCCTCGGGTACATAACCTCGAGTTTGTTTTTCCCCTGTGTCCGGTATCTTGCCGTATTTGAGCTCGGGTCCCTGTGGAGTATTGACCCCACCGATGATCATATGAATGATATGCAGAGGTTCCTCTTGTTTATCTTTTTTGCTGGCGTCCCTTTCTCAGAAGTGGTTCTTGGCTCTGTCACTAAGGAACTCCCGAAGGTGGCCCTCATTGAATAAACGGGCTACCTCTTCTCTTAATTGTCTGCAATCCTCGGTCATGTGGCCATGCGTACCATGATATTTGCACATCGAATTCGGGTTCCTTTGGGAAGGGTCGGTTTGCATAGGTCTGGGCCACCTAGTATCTTTGATTCTTCCGATCGCCGATACAATGCCCAATACATCGACGCTGAAATTGTACTCCGATAGCCGAGGTGCCTCTATAGGATCAGCATATTTATCAAAGTCATCTTGCTTATAATCCCCCGAGAATTTTGTCCTCGATCACTCTTCGATTGTTCCGAGCGGCATTGCGCGTTGAACCGTTGTTCATTCGATATGCGACGTACAGTTGATATCGGTCTCTTTTCGACCTTTGCTCTCTGTCGATGTCCCTCTGGTTTTTAATAGTTGTCCTGTTCTGATGCATGGATCCGGAAGGAGCTCCCAACTAGTTGTCTTCGACCCTAATTTTTGACTGATATCGGTTGCATACATCTGCCCAAGTTATTACTGAATACTCGATCAAATTTTGCTTCAGCCGACGTGATGCTATTGAACTTTGCTCGTTCAACCCTTGGGTGAAAGCTTGGACGGCCCAGTCGTCTGTGACCGGTGGCAATTCCATGTGTTCCATTTGAAATCGGGACACGAACTCCCTTAGCATTTCATTACCCCTTTGTTTTACTTTGAAGAGGTACGATTTCCTTGTTGCAACCTTTATGGCACCAGCATGTGCCTTTACAAACGAATCCGCTAACATAGGAAAAGAATCGATGGAATGTGGTGGCAGATTATGATACCAAATCATCGCTCCCTTCGAGAGGGTCTCTCCGAATTTTTTCAATAACACGGATTCGATCTCATCGTCTTCCAAATCATTACCCTTGATGGCACACGTGTAAGAGGTGACGTGTTCGTTGGGATCGGTCGTACCGTTATATTTGGAAATTTTGGGCATACAAAATTTTTTGGGGAATTGTTTTGGGGCTGCACTCGAGGGAAAAGGCTTTTGTACGAATTTTTTCGAATCCATACCTTTTTATAATTGGTGGAGCTCCCGGGATCTGATCGACCCTCGAATTATATGTTTACTCGAGCAATTTAGTAATTTCGGGAGTAGTCCCCGATTCTTGCTTGTTTGACTTCACTATGGCTGGCTCCGTTCTGTGGGTGATTTCTCGAAGCGGATTGGGCTCCGACCTGCTTTGTACCTGTGTTTGGCTCTGCAACTGAGCTATCCCTATTTGTTGGGCTTGTAACATCTCGAAGATCATATATAAGCTGACTCCGATCTCCTCCATGTTATGAGTATCTCGAGCTACGGATCGAGTACCGCCCTGAATATTTTTTTCCGGTTCGGAATGTTGGTTTGCCTCAAGAGTCACTTGTGAATTGACATCTAGCGGTACTTCGACTCGGATTTCAGGTACTTCGACTCGAGCTTCAGTGACATCGTTAAGTGGCCTTCCGGCCCTGGATATCAAGTTGTTGCTTTCATCTTGAAGGCCGGCTTCGTGGTCGATAGGTAAAGCCATCAATCGAGGGTTTGCCTATGCTGATTCGAAGTTGTAAACTGGTGTGTATTGAAGATTTATATCAAACAACCACTGTTACCCTTAACTCAACGGTGGGCGCTAAACTGTTTACCCGGAAAATCGGATATAGTTGAATTTATAAGTAGTTCTAAGGATATGTGATATAACTTGACATAAATCATACGTAGAAGTGGAAATGTTTAGATTCTTGGCTATAAAAACGGGAGATAAATTATTGAACAAGAAGAGTGAATATGCTGAGTAAAACAAGCTCAAGAGATTTATTCTTCAATAAGAGAAGTAGTCTTTTCTTATAATGTGTGAAGCTGCCCTGTGCTTACAAGGATTCCCCCTTTTATAGTAGATGGATCTTACTTTATTTATAATAAAAAATATATAGTGGAGAATCCATGATGAATTGTCTCTTCCTCGATTCTCGCCAAGATTCTCTCCCTTAGTGCGGTTGCAACGGCTCTTGTCTGCGAGCTCGATACTGGCTCGAGCTCGGTATTGGGTCGAGCCCTTGGCCTTGGTTCGAGTTCGGCATTCGGGGTGAGTGTCAATCGGTCTGTGCGTCTCCGACAACCTTCAAGTTGCATTGCGGTTCGATTTGGTCATGGGCTCGATAATGATACCGAGGCGATTCCTCGATCGGTCTTGGAGCTCGAAGCTTGCTTTTACTATCTTCAGAACTCATCTCGAAGTCTCACTTCTGTCGCTTACCATTCGAACTCGATCAAACGTACGAAGGCCGAAATCTATTTCGACCGTATACAGATGCTATTACCAGATTTATCATGCGTGAGAAATTTATTTTATTCCCACACTATCATGGCACGGATTTAAGACTGGGTTCGACTAAACTACCATTACTTTTGAGTTGAACTATATGTACATAAGAAAAAATATATCAGTGAATCCACATTGTTCAATTACAGAAGATTGTTTTGATATATCAGTGACATAAAAACTATTTCATAATTGTGTTTGCTAAATATTATATTTCTTAGGTATTGTTGGCTCAAATTCAAGCCAACGCAAGTGTGTTCCTATCCAAATTGTCTATCATGTTTTGCTTCCTAAAAGAAAAGAAAGATCAAGATATGGTCCCTTCCTTATCCACAAGAGTATATCACAAGAGTTTGGTTGTCACTACCTCATAAAGCTCTAACCCCACCTATAATATATTTGGAGAGCACCTTAAAATGCCTCTTCAAACTCAAAAAGACAACATTTGGAAAGGGCACTTATCTAATATTCAACTTTTTGTTTTTACTCAAAGTCGGTGTTTTTCAATTATAGAAATTCTTAAAATCTAAATTTGTGAGTCAAAAGTCTTTTAAATGGATGTGTTTATAATATTAATACGTTTTATTTCCATAGTTTTTACACATTTGTACAGAGATAGGAGTCTTGTACAAATATACTAGTTGACCATGGGAAGCAGAAGCGAAGTCAGCTTAAGGGTGTTCAAACTTGAAAGAAATGAAAGATATATTCCGACAAAGAGTATTCAATACACAGTGTAATTTTCAACAAGGGGTGATCAACTGACCACCCTTAAGACAATGTAGCTTCGTCCCTAATGGTAAATTGCTAGAATATGCATAAAATTCTCAAGAATACAATAGCACAAAATATTTATGTGAAAATTTACAAAAAATTCTAATAAATAGATAGTTTGAACCCATAATTTTAAAAATATAACAAGCTCAATACTAAGAAATCTTAATGATTGAACCCATAAAACTTAAATCGTGAACCCGCCTCTTAATACACGATATGGTATGAAATCGGGAAGACAATATTTATTTAACCAAAACTAAAAGCAATAGTTATTTACGACTCTTGGAAAAAACATTGAAAAACTTGAACTAATTAATTATTACAAGTAATGTATGTAGTTTGTAGGCTAAATAAGTTTGCAAATACTAGAGTGTAGATGTCTTTTTCAGTTATTGCATGATTAGATAAGTTTTGATCCAGTCTTTGGAGCAATCTTTGATAACTTTATCAACCACTAACAATAATTGAATAATCGCTACGTGGCTTAATGTAAACACATTGAATATAAAATAATACAAAAAAAAAAAAGGAAACTTCTCAAAAGTGGCAGTATTTAATATCAATTTTGGTCCGATTAATATGGACAAAAAAGTCAATAAGTTTCTCGTACATATCTTGTGTTAGGTACGTATTGGAACTGTCTAATTAAGTGACTAAGATTATTTCGAAAAGGTAACATTCATTAGCAAAACTCAAAAAATATTAGTTCGTTCGTCCAATTTTATACCATTAATAGAAGAGTTGAAAGAGCTCTGTTTCCAAACAGATTTGGGAATATAGGCCGATGCGTCTCCAGCTTGTGTTTCAATGACGAGTAAAACGGTCAAGCTACATGTGCATGTCTGGTTAGATTGTTTGGACGCTCTTTCTAAGAGACGAGAATATGATTTCCCATCAAGGTTCAGTTGTGAATTCGCAAAGAGGTTCAAGGTTTGTAATTTGAGTCAGGATCTTTCACCTATCTAAATTCGGGAGGATTCTGCTTTTCACATTCATTCTACAGGACCAAAACGAGGCTTTTCCTCGGCCCCCATCTTCCGCATATCTTTCTCATCCGATATGGCATGAATCACCGAACCTGCACTCAGGAATAGTAATGCTATGAAAAATACGTGATTCATTAAGTGACAGACGTTAATCGAATAGTTACAGATGTTGCAAACAAAAATCATATAGCCTGATTGACTGCAAGATTTTCAGATAAAGAAGATTAAAAAAGAAAAGTATAGTGGCTAGGAATAGAACGTGCGTAAAGGCAGAAGAAAGAAAGCCCGAATAAAAGAAAGCTGACCAGGAGTGCCAAACCACTCTAGTATCTTCACCCTTGCACCTCCTATGCTATTATACTTGGACTAGGGGCCTCCTTCCTTTGTGCTTTTATACACATGGAAGTACCTTTTTTTTTAATCAATTCGCCTTCATAAAAAGAAATAGTCAAATTTGGTGACAACTATTTTAGTGTTCATCCTCTTATCCCAAACTTACCCTTTTTTTCACGGAAGCCCACCCCTCACTTTATTGTTCTTCATGAGTGGGAAAAAATCAAAATCTTTCTATCAATATCAATCCGGGAATACTAGACTAAGCATGTAGCCTATCTGCTTCACTCGTAAAAACCAGGTTTAGTTGAATGGTACTAAGTAAGAATGCTATTGGATGAGAAAATTTTGACTCAACATCATCAATAGACGCATAAGAAATAAAATAATTGGATTTGTGGACTCGTTTTTTTTCTCATAGTCAGACCACGCCTTATGACGAAAGGGGGAGAAAGGACGGATCACCTGTTGATCTGTGATCAAAGAAAATTATACCTGAAGAATGGGATACAAATTGACAAGCCTAAAATAAAGGCTAGGAGGCGCTACAAGCGAGAAAAGAGTTATGCTTTTCTTTCTTTGTTGAGATTGAAATCAAGTTAAAAGGTTAGGTATAATGGAGGAAGGCCAAGTCAAGAAAAGGACTTCCTTACTTTTCATTCATAAGTCTTAATGACTAGTAGTTTGAAGCCTTAAGAAAGTGATATTTTTTCAGCACTCGCTTCCTTCGTCTTAAGTCAAATTTAGTTTACTTTTTCGATTCGGAACTCTTAGTCAAGCTGGTGGCGAGATCGATTTTTTGTTCGAGGTTCAAGAGTAAGGAGAGGAACCACCTTAGGTAGTTATTCCTCCCGTAGTTATGTTCTTGGTATGTTAGTCTTGTTAATGCTTTCTAATCTACTTTCTATCTTGTACAATACCCATTTTTCATTCATTCTATCTAAGAAAAAAATTCAGCATAGACGATCCCCCTCCCCCCCCCCCCCAATTTTTTCATTTATTTATCTATAGGCAAGAAAGCGAAAAATTTCAAAAAAGTAAAATGAAAAAAGTGTCCCCTTTTAATTAGCCTATTTCCAAGAGGGAGAATGTCTTATGGAAATCTCAGGCATACTCAAAATCGGTTATTTAATGTCTTATGTAAATCTTAGGCATACTCAAAATCGATTATTTGGCCTAATCGAGCAACCTATGAATAATTGTCGCCTACATAACCTACCTACCAAACCAAGGAAAAAAGGTATCAGCCATCTGGTTTAGTAAAATTTATGACTTTCCTCACCTACTGCATTCTTAGTTTGGCAAAGTAAGAGTAGGTGAGAGCTGAAAGAGTATCTGTCATCTGCGCAAGTGGTTTGGGTTTATGGGTTTAAACTGACTACAACCAAAGCCGTGGCTGATTATGCCATGCTGCTTGGCTTGGAATTAAATGCGGAGATTTCAATACGAAATTTTTTAGACATATTCCCCGGCATCAGAGAATTTCAGGGCTTCGTCTCCCATTGTAGTCGCCTTCTTCATATGGCAAGCGCTACCCGTCGGCTGAAGGGTCAGGAAGAGAGAACGACTATACTTTCTAAGTTAGAACATTAGGAACCTTACACCCAAGAAAGTAGCCAAAACAGCAGAGAAGATCATAGATGGGTTTAACGAGAAATTTAGCTCACACCTATCTTTGATGAAAGAAGCCGCAAGTTTAGGCCTCTCTTTATTCTCTTGAGGGACAAGAAAATATTCAGGTACTTGATAAAAAAACTACCACTTTTTTTTATTCCTCTTCAATGATCTGGAATTTTTGCGAGGAGTTTCGTTCGTGAGGAAGCACCTGCTCTTATCGAAATTGACCTTTTGTCCATTACTCTGCCGAATCTAACGGAATTTTCTTATCAGCAGACCAACTCTGTTCAAGAGCAAATTGGCCTTCTTCGTTTTCGGGTAGGCTTTTGGCGGCAGCAAAGGCGATATGAATTGTTTAGTAGTTATCAAGAGAACATGTAGGTTGAAATTTAACATGTCTTTTTTGAAATATGGAATAATGAAATGATTATCATCAAGAAAAATAAAAGAGGGCCTCCTTTTAACAATTCAAGTATAAAGCATGTTAGGAACCATTTAGGAGTGTGGTGGGTTGGACAAGACCCCTTTTATTCTTAATCAACTATCTCGAGTTTGAGTTCTGCAATTAAAATTATCTCTTGATAGGGATCTCTTTCCCTTTTAATGAACTGTACTCAAGGAGAATCCGAATTAGTTAAGCCAGTGAATTATAAACAGAAGATGATCACACATATTTAGACCTCTCTATAATAGTCATCTTGTATAACAACAATTCACTGTAAATTGTCAACTTTTCGTTGGTACCAATTTTTCCTTTTATGTTATAATATATATTTTTTGTAATAGCATTTTATTATAGGAGTCAAAAATATCAAAACAAACGAGACTGTTATATTGAGATTAGACCGTATACACAAAAAGAAACATGTTTAGGAAGTCGGACATTTTTCTAAGATAGTAAATTTTTGAATGAACAAAAGGATTTAGCGCCAAACATAAGAAAGCAAATTCCAACAATGAAAAGGAAACTTCAAAACATGTCCAGAATTGCCTCAACATTTTCTCCCGCATTATGTACTTCTCTATTGGTTTTGTATTGTTCTAGAAATGGAAATGTATAATTTCCTAGTTATTTTTGAGTATTTAAGTTTTCCCTTCTAATCAAAAGGAGAAACAAAAATGCAATTTTGAGAACCACAAACAAAGGTGAGGAAATATTGTACATTCAAGAAGAAAAAAACTAAAAATTGGGGCAACAGTATTGGATCTACATACTACACAAAAAAGGAAACTTCTGCGAACCAGAGACTTTTGTCTTGTTCATTTACCTGTTTAGGATGTCGATATGCTATATTCATGCAGAATTTTAAAATTTTTGCTTTCTTATTCAGACTTCACTTTATTTTATTCGTTTCGTTTTATTTTAGCTGACATTATTTTTATCTTTTCGTTCATAAAACATGTCTAGAAAGTTAAACATTTTCTATGATGGAAAGTTGTAGAATCCACAACTGAAGGATTATTTAACGCCAAGTATGTAATAGCAATTTATTTTTTTGGGTAAATAGCATGATTATATTAATAGCTAGAAAGAATTAGTACATGCTGCGACGCTTCTTAGAGCATCCAAGTTAGCTGATTTTGAGCTCACTACCTCGATTTCCTTTTACTTGTTGATTTGTATTTTGCACACCCCTTATAAGAAAGCATTAATTAAGTATTTATTCTCTAAATTGTCCTTATCAGTGGTACTTTAAGAATCTAAATTTGACTACTAGTACTCAAATTAGTTTGGATAAGATGATTACTTAATGACGAAGGTAAAATTAAAAAGAAGTAACTAATTCTCTCTTGCTTTGGTAAAGTTGGATATATAACCAGAGGCGTATGCAATGTAAAAGTTTTGGGTTCAACTGAACCCATAGCTTTCGCTCATNGGGAGGGAGTGATTTACGTGGTGTCCAATTTTTCGCGTGCACAGATTATAGAAGGACCTGGTTCTTCTATGTGTTCTTTATACTACTGTTACGAAAATAGTAAATGCAGAAAGTAAAAAATACATGTATTTTTACGTAAAAAATACCCGATTCAAAAGGTGAAAAAACTAATACATTTTACTCAGTATGATTTTTCCCAACATTTCACTAAATCATTGAACCAAGACAACATTCATAAAACTCTTTGTAAACCTAAGGATTACCTCTAATCCCGTTGTGAAAACCAACCTCTAACTGTTGCGACAACTTCAAGTTAACTCTAACTTGAATACAATACTCAGAGTACCTAATACAATTGCTTCTAGATAAAGCTGAAAGGTACAACTTGAAATACCTACTACGATGAAACTAGAATAAAAGACAGACACTTGAAACTGGTTCTTCTATCTGGTTCATATAGCTTCAGGTTCGCACACTTGAATCATAAAAGAATTGCTTGCAAAATGCCTTGCTATTTTGCTCTTAACTCACGTTTAACTTCAACGTTTGTGCGTCCCTATAAAATGAGAACATCCTACAATTTATAGAGTTAGTAGAATAGGAAATAACTAGAGTTCCAATACATGCTCTTCCTTGGTGGAAGAGTTTTAGTTATCTTCAACTTCTAACTCCTCCCTTATCTAGGATAGAGTTCTCTCGAGTAAGGAGTCCTTCTCCTTATCACTTGTGTAACCTTTTCGTTCAGGAGATATCATATATATCCACTTACGCTTATCTCCTTCACGTGCCTGCCTTGTGCTCGAATTCTGCCCGTGTTTGTGTTCATTTTGTATGGACCTGGTTCATGCTTGAGTTCCTTTGTCAATCATCAAAACAAACTTCACTTGGGCCAACAAATTCCCCTTTTTTGATGATGACAAACTCTCTGCTTTTCATAAGCATAGGCCCTGTGTCAACCCAGCTCAACATCAATACAATGTTAGAACACTTTTCATTTTAAAGTCACAAATCATCAAGGATCAGGTTCATTAGGTTATAAACATCACAGTCCAAAGTAAAAAACACAACCTATCTTTCCTCTTTTGGCATCATCGAAAAATTGCATAATTAGGTTAGATAACCATATTTTAATAGAAATTACTCATGGCCACTGGAACTACTTCCAATGTAATCATGGAGTCAAGCATCATTTATCAATCTAATGATATTAGCCATCTAAGAAGTATCAACAAACAGTTAGAGCTAAAATAGTTGATTGTCATTGATTCTAGTCATCCACAAATCATAAAGAGAAATAAAAATATTGGATCATGAGCAAAAAGAACAAAAAGAAATCCCATCTGGGTCACTGGTTTGTCTAACAAGGCTAGAAAGGTTTCAAGGCTGGGAAGGACCAGGTTCTTGATTTCTGGCCTGAAGTAGTTGATAAGTGAGGATTTTGACTGCTTATTAGCACCTTTTAGCTTTTGTTTTGGTCCAAAAGCATTGAATTGTGTTCCCGAAACTAATAAAATTATGTAAAATTGCAGGAATGCTAGAAGTTTGGTCTCCCAAGATA